AGAGAGAGAGAGAGAGAGAGAGAGAGAGAGAGAGAGAGAGAGAGTTTCCAACTTTTTTTATATCAAAACCTATTCAAGACGTCAAAAAATGTTTTATAATGAAATTATCTCTATTCATTTATATTAATAATACTTTGAAAAAAATATATATATATAATTTTTAAAAAATATTGATATGAATATTATTTTATTATAAAACTTTTGTATAAAATATTTTTTGGAGGAGTAACTTCCTTTCTTGAAATCGTTTATTTATTGCAACTAATATTTTCTGAATTTATCTATTATATAATTTGTAAGTATAGCAAGCTTAATTAAAATCAGAACTTGATATTTCACGAAGTTTTTTTATATAAGTAAACATTTTACATGCATTCTATAATTAGAGCTATTACTTAAGCTTCAAGTCTTAGGTCATAAGAAATTAGCAGTCACAGTTGAATGTGAGAAGAATAGTCAACTGTGATTGATCAACTTCTTATGGCTTAAAACTTAAAGTAACTTAGGTAATTATAGTAGAAAGTCATTAAAGCTTTAATTGTTTCAAATAAATCTTACAGTCATCTCCAAACTCTAGCCAAATAGCATATCCTATAAACCATTCTAATTGATCAATCTCATTCTTAGTTATTGGGCAATCAACGTCATTGCAATACTTTTCAAAAGTTTTTGGCCATTCCAAGGACGTAATGTCTCTCAACTTCTGACGGTCCTCTATAGTATAATGACGTATCTTTTGATCTTCCAACCATACAATCACTTTTCTGAAGTGCTGAGTATCTGGAACATTACAATATTGTATCAATATTATAGTATTTAAGAAGTTTAGAGACATGGTCGACATAAACGTTTTATCTTTGTTATTCATGAATGTTAAGGAAAATAAAACGTTTGTATTGACTGCATCTCCTAAAAGAAAAATTCACCTACAGTCTTAAAATGTTATAAATCAATCACAAGCCAATATTCACAGGTCGTTCTTATTCTAAGTAATGTTTTAAAATGCCAATACAACTTTTGTAATTGGCTTACATCTTAAAATTGCATTTAAAACGGTCCTAAAAAATCGGCAATAAATACTGT